TGGTTTGTTCAGGGCTGTGTCACTAGTCAGTTTGATTGTGATGCCCCCTAATGGTATTTGAGAGCTGGTTAGCCACTGTGTGGTTTGGGCGGGTCAGCCAGTGTGTCCTCAGCTGTCACATCTCCCTATATAACCCGAGGGCAGCGTTGCTGTGTTTATTAGTTATGAGCCGTTCAGGTATTGTGAGATTTCCTCACTGATAAGAAATGCACGGGAGGGTGATTCTTACCCTTGTATGGAACCAACCAGTCCACAACCTAGTAAAAATGAACACAAATAGTTGAAATGCAACATGCTGAATGTTTTTGTCTGATATAAGAAGTCCAGATTGTGTAATCCTAGACTGGAATTGAGCCATGACTTGGGTTACACCCCTATTCCTACTGAAAGTGTCATAGTGTTGTAAGTGAACAACTACCTAGGACACCCCTTTTAGAACCTCTTCTGAAGGACACCACCTCTTGTTTCAGAAAAGTTTTGCTCCAGGTGGAATAGTACAACCTACTGGTCCCCCATCACCACCTACAGCAACTCTTTTCTCTGGAGGATTTCCATTCCAGTTCTGTTCAGGCCCAACTTTGCTTAGCTTCTGAGATCAAATGAGAACAGGCTACAGGGGGGTGACACTTTTATCAGCTTTATTACCCTGATTTGTGAAAGGCCTCTGGCTGAAGTTTTTGGGGCACACATGGTCACAGACGTCAGACCTCACTGCCGCGGGCATGTGCACTGCCAGTTCAAAACAAAGGAAGTGCGACAAAAGGAAAATGTTTTCACTGCGACCCAACCTTTGAAGAGAGGCTTCAATCATCTTGACTCTCTTTCTGTCTCTTGAGGAACAGAAATTTTCCACCAACACAAGTTGCCTTTGTGTCTGATATAGAGACTTTTATCTTTAAACAGCATTAAAAATAACATGGTCCAGGATTTATGGATCTACAGTTAGAACCCCTTCTCAATTCAGTCAAAGCTCAGTGTGAGACAAAGAAGGTATGTCAAGTCATTGTTAACCCTGAATTAAAACAAAAAAAAAACAATTGCATTTCCTAATAAACATAATAAAATGTATGCCAGTAGATGGTAGCCATCCCCTAATGAATTACATTTCTGGTTAAATATAATCTTCATCTTTACTATAGAATTAATCTTCTATTTTTTCATCTTTTGACTTTGTCCATCCCAGTCCACCTGCACACTACTGTACCTGTTCTGGCAACACTAGGTTCCTCGGGATTAACTCACAACGTGAATTCGTCTTACTGCCAAACTGTGAAAGTGTTGTGAAGGAGTCACGTCTAACAGCCTACAGTATGTCTTTATTGCTGGTGCAGACGCGGCCTTATCAATTAAAGAAACATGGAAAAAGTGTTCTGTCACGAATGAAAAAGATAGACTGAAGACAATAAAAATTAGGCAAAGTAAATTCTGTTGTTATGTATTGGGTGCATACAGTATGTACAGTATGCTATTTTTCAGACTTTTAATGCATAACATTGCTAGTATGGCCAGTTACCATCTGCTGAGCTGGTAAACTCCTGTCCAGTTTTATCTGATCTGGAAAAGATAAAACCTACACATTGTATTCAGCAAGTGAATTAAGATTTGTGTAAACCACAAATATAAACACAATTGAAGGAAAGCAGGCACTGTTATTAAACTCTTGCCTTCATTCCTTGTAGAAACGGATATAACTCTGCTGGTGCCTTAAATGGCTGTAATATGGCTTTGGTGATATTATCTCAAATGATTGTCTATGCGACATGTTGTTAGGGCTGCATTAAGCACAGACCAATAAAAATATTTTGGCTGTGACTTCCCTCAACCCTGTCGAGTTCTAAGGAAAAATAAAAAGAACTTAATTTCCTGTTTCATTCCTCAAACTGTTGTGTGGTGAGTGTGCCGGTCCAAGATGGCTGCTGCTTTTCCAGGCCACGGGGGAGGCTACCTCTGTTTATTGCCTTTTTGAGGGTTTAGTTTGGCCTAAAGTGTGAGCTGCTGGGGAATGGGAGCTCGCTGAAAGACGCAGTGTAATTGTGAGATGGCGATAGATTATCGCGCAGCGGGGCTGTTGTGGCAGATTGACTGAGTGGCCCGGCTCCAGTTGTTTGATTCTGGGCTGGCCTGGCTACAGGACAGCTCTCCATACTTTTCTTCTTTGCTCTAAGGCACCCAGACTGGGCCAGAATTCAATAGGAGAGTCTGGGTGCTGGGCTTGGCCCTCCCCCTGTCGGTGACTGGTGCTCCCCCTCTCTGGCTGAAGTTCACATTCCTGACTCCAGACAAAAGACAGGACAAGAAAAGAGTGGGCAAAAAAAAATCCCATCCATTCTGTTATTACTGTAAATACGGTGCCTGCATAGCAGCCTGAGCATCCAGGGTTTCCAGCCACCCCCTATTGACAGAGCCATAAATCACAGCAAAGCTAAGTGAATTACTGTAGCAAAGAGCTGTGGCTTTAACAATGTTTATGTAGTATCAGCTTACCATCTCCCCTGAAAGAAAGCACAACACCGATATTGGAAATGGAAACGCAGGCTCTTATTAACTCCACTGCAATATATCACAGTTTAAGGACCCGGGCCTCGCGTCTTGGGCATTATACTAATAACCAATAACCGAATATTACCTCTATTAAGAACGGCGTAATTAGATTGTGCCGGTTACAATTAAATACTTGATAAGCCTCAATCCATTAAAAGGCTGTCAATCTCACACAAACGCTGCACGGAGGTAGGATCTGCAATATCAATTCATTATCCGTTGCTGGAGTGTATCGGTTTTATATCAGCTGGAGAAAAAAAAATGATGACCTGAACATTTTGTACCAGCGTCTTTACTTGAGCCTCCTCACTTTTTGAGTTTTTGCTTTCTGAAATCCAATGAAGGAACATAACCAGATCTGGTGTACGCTTTTTTATACCACTAAAGACTTACTCCTAATAATTTCTTACATACCGTACAGCCCAGTGATTCCCTCTGCCATACACGCAGGAGGGGACAGACTTCATCCACTACTTAAGTGCAGCTAATCCTGAGTCAAGCAGGCCATTATAATTAACCAGAAGCTAAATTTGAGGAATGTAAATTTTTTGAAGAATTTCATGAATGTAGAAATCTTAACTTAAAGCATCTTACACATATACTGACTGATTTCCCTTTCAGCATGAGTATACTCAGTTTTAATATGACAATTCCCAACGAAGCCACTACAGACAGTATGAGGTCACTACTCCTGTATGAGTATTGGTTTACTCTCAGCTAAGTCTCTGACACAGGAAAGAACCTCACCAGATGATGTTTCAGTCGGATGCACTCAGTGGTACTATAGTGTAGATAAGACATCTGACTGATACGTTTGACGAGCAACATTTATGTCGGACAAATGCATAACTTTGATCTGTCCGGGGTCATTGTAATTAAGAAGAGGACATTTCCTTTAATTAATCCTTTCCTAACTTTTATTTGGAATTGTTCTGCTTTTCCATACAGATTTGCACATGTTGTAGCTCTTTTACAGTACGATCTTTGCCTGCACCGATGAACCCTGTCTGTTGTCAAAACGGGAACTGGGATCATTTGGATGTACTGTATGAACTTTCAGTTGTTCAGTCAAGATTTTCCTAATAATAAACCTTTTCGGCAAGTATCGTAGTTCTAAATAATTCCAAACAAAAAAGATCAGATAGAAAGACGGACATAAGTTTTCTATAAACAGTACAAGAGATGCAAATCTATTCTAAGAACTTTTTTTGCAGATACGGTTGACAGATATTCAGGGGGAAGAGGCTCCTTGTGCTTTCAGACTGGACATAGTTCAGAAACCCGCTGTGGAGATTTTGGAGATTTGCTGTAGCTTGAAGAGGTGTGCTAAATATTTGTCATTTGATTTCATCAGAAATTGGCAAATCATTGTTGTAAGTTGTAAGTCAAAATGAAAAAAGACAGGTTGACATCTCTTGGAGGTGTATTTGGGGAATATTGCCTCTGTGTAAAATTTTGCCACAGCCCTTCTTATCCCAGGTGTATTACTAAAAAGGACTGGAGTAGTCCTATACCTCCATTATTCCATCTACTGTTGGTACGCAGCTGAAGTTTTCTCTGACGTTTCCTTTGCAAATTGTACCCATTAATTTAATTTAAAAGCTCATTTGATTAGTATCCAAAATTATGCTCATTTTCGTTTGTATTAGTTTGGGAGGAGGGTGGGCCCACAGTAACAATGAACTGATCTCCAAATGCATAGGAGCAATGCAGAAAATATGTCTGTTTCCTTTATACAAAGCAAGCCCCCCCGCAGGCCAGCTTTTCCGCTGAGACTCTTTGGAGAGGGCTGGACCCAGACTGATCAGATCCAAGTTGGATCTGAGTCACCCGACGGCTTGGAAGGGAGATTTCTTTGCATGGGTTTCTTGATAATCACTTTTTTAGGGTTGGAGGACGACAATTATTGTCTTAGTCAAATTACAGCAGTATGTGTTTCTAGCAAAAGTCCAAGTTATAGGGTATATATTACAGAAGTTTACCTGTCAGATTCTTTTCTAGGGTAGTTTGGGAAACCAAATGCTTCAGTCCACCTTCATCCTCCAATTTCTTTGATGTACAGGGTATTAATATGTGAATACAAATACAAGGCTTCAGCAAACAACTTCAGATATTAAGTATTTGATTCTGTTCTTGTTAATTAGATCCTGTAATGCAGTGAAGTTAACGGGAGTTAGCTTTCTCCTGGGATAAAGGATAGTAAATCTCTCCGGTTGTCTGTCCAGTTGCATGGGCCTCATAAGGTTTGTAGAACTGTCACCAGGTGCATTGTGGGATTGAATCACACATTTGGACCACTTGTGTTCTTCCTCATGTTGTGCTGTCTTGTCTGGGCTCATTTTCCATAGCTCCTGCCTTGTCCTCAGCTGTGTGAGGTATGGCCTGTCCGTGTGAGCGCTCCTGTGCGCCAGGAGTGAGCCCCAGCACCACTAACCGCTGTCTTTCTCCGTCTCTTCCAGCGAGTCCACACGCCACGCCGTCAACTCTCCATTTCCCGACGTCGCCAATCATTCAGCAACCCGGCCCCTACTTCTCCCACCCAGCCATCCGCTACCACCCCCAGGAGACCCTGAAGGAGTTTGTCCAACTTGTCTGCCCTGACAGTGGTCAGCAAGCTGGACAGGTGGGGTTCCTTAATGTAAGAATGAGCATTTTACATTCTCTCTTCCGCCATGCGTTTTTAATTCCTCGCTAGGTTTCTGTGTTTTCGTTCTCATTTCGAAATGTCCGTCTAAGCATCGGAGTCCTTTAGTCTGAGTCTGCGCCTTGTTGGCTACCCACCTGCCTCTCTGCATGTCTTCTGTCTGTCCTGTACGCTTTCCTTAAACTGCCTTTCCCTCACACACACGAAAAAACGTAACACAGAATTATTCCTCCTCATTGTTAGTTTAAAATAGCTTACTTACTTGCTTAAAAAAAACACCCAAGTTCAGAATTCTGTAAATGAGTAAGCACTTAAAACTGTATGTGAACGCACACACACAGGTCCTGTGTGATATCTGCAGTTAGTTGATATATTTGTGTCTAGACACTGAATCAATACAGAGCAGGGTTTTAAATTCTTAATATTCATCTGCTCATTTTATCCCGAGTCTATTTGTCATTCTCTTTGTGTATACACACAAAGATGTAGAACTACCTATATATGTCTATATCCATCAGTCTGCCTATCTATATCTACATATGAGCCTCACCAATATGAAATGACCTGTGTATTGCAGACCTGATAGTTTGGAACAAATGTGCTGTTTTGGTAACAGAATATGAACAGGAAAGTGCGTACAGCAGCAGAATTGTTCATGACCAAGATAAAGAAATTGCTGATCCTGTTTCACAAATGCATTTAGTTTTTGTGCAGACGTTTGTGTGGGCTCTACTACTATGTCTCAGAAACCTCTGTGAACTTACTATGTCTGCTTTTTACAAAGAAAACAAGATGTAGTAGTGTTTATCATCAAAGTAGCATTGCACATTGAGCCTCAATATGAGAATCTAGTGATATGAAAATCTAGGAAAGGGACATAACAGTTTGTGTATTTTTGCATTATTTTACTTTTTTCCTTTGACATCCACAGTTATGTTTGTAGAAAGATCTAAAGCTGCATTATAAGTTACAAGGATTCCTGGCTGATCTGGACTCTTATGTGCTGCAGTGCCGTGGATCACTGCGTGGCCTATCATAGTGTTCCTGGTCCTTCAACACCTTTCTGAGAGCCAAACAGCTAAACCACTAAAGGGATCTGCTGAAAATGCACATTGGGCCCAGTTGACCAGATATAAAAAAATACAGGGGCCTGAATGCCACCAAAGCAACACCTTGCTGGCCAGGAACCATCATGGCTCCACAATGTCCAGTTTGTCCCGGGCTTGCTTCGGGACAGCACCGCCGGTGGTCAAGTGGACAGCACTGCTGTGCTGCTGATGCTGTAGCAGTTGAATGACAGGAGCCAGGATATGATATGTTTCACAGGATGCATGCGTGTCATCTTCATCTGCACTATGAGGGATGGAATAGAGAACCCAAATTGGTGTCGGGGGGGGTTTGGGGAAAAATTTAAGAAAAATAATTGTGGGTGTCCAGCCTTGGGCTGTTTTATGCCATGGCACCATTAATCATTTTTCTTTCTCTTCTCGCAATGGAACAGCCCAATGGAAGCAGCCAAGGCAAGGTGCACAACCCATTCCTTCCTACGCCCATGTTGCCACCCCCGCCCCCTCCGCCAATGGCCAGGCCTGTGCCCCTGCCGGTGCCAGACTCTAAACCCCCCTCCACGTCCACCGAAGGAGGAGCCAACTCCCCCACGTCTCCCAGTGAGTATCCATCCCAGTGGCACAGCATCAGGGATCGGTGTCTGGACCCTGCATACAATACGGTTCAATACAGTTCAGGCTCTATTATCCTCTGTTATGGGGAAAACTTGTTTTACAGCCCTGTCCAATATAACAATACAACAAGGAAGAGAAGCATTACACACAGAGAAGATGGTACAAAGTCTTCTGAGGTCAGAGCTCATCCTGGTTACCATAGCTGAGCCGACTGAGCTGACCACTGAGCAGACAAAGATCACTTGAGTCCTCCCCCGGAAAGGGCGGTAGTTCATTGCAGTGGATATCCCCCCAGCAATGCAGGTTTTCACTTACAGTATGCAGCTGGGAGAACAGGAGAGAATGGGGTACAACACCAGTGCCCGCACTGGGGACTTCTGTCAAATGGTCAGTTATGAGCCCAGAGACTTATATCACTCTCCCCTGGGACTCTTAATCCTGAGGAATTTGTGTGGTGTTCTAACTTCCTTGTGTTGTTTTGTAACAAGTGGTTAAAGAGCTCAGGAGGTGTTAATTGTTGTGGGACTCAATAGCTGTGTCCAGACAGAGCCATGTGGACACAGTTTCACCGAGAGCATGCTGTTTTTTTTTCCCTGCTTACTGTTTTGAAACATATAATTTGTTTCACAAGTTGCTCTTTCAAATAATATTTTAGTGACAATGCCAGCCTGCCCTCGAGAATATCTTTCTTTCTTAAAAAATGACAAATTGTCAAATTGTGACACAATGTTGGATGCTTAGTACAGTTGTAGGCTTTTGAGGATTATAGTATTTCCGTTTTTGCTTCGTTGCAGCTTGCATCAAAGTTGGATGTCAATTTGGTGCTGTGTACTGATCATTTCTGCTACAGCCGGTGTCAGATATTTTTATTGTAACAGTCACTTTTCTTTTGTCGGCAGCTCATCTCTAATTAATGAAAACATATGTTCAATTTTTAAAAACAAAAACATTAGAAAATGGAAAGTCTCCACTGGGACACCTAGTAAGTTCAGCTTGTCAGTCACATTGTGAGGAGAACCATGTGTCTTAGACATTACTGACTGGTCATGCCAAGGCTGTGATCTTGCCCAAGGACTGACTAGAGGGATGCACATGGGTGGGAAAATCCAGCTTGTTCCAGCATTAAAAAATAAATGGAGAGATATATCCGGGATTGAACCTGAACCCTAGACACCACATTCTCTTGGAATTAGAAGCATGGTCACGTCAGCTTGTTGGGATCATTCCCTGCATGTCTGGGGAATCTAGGCAGACTGGGAAACCAGAAGGCTCTTGTTTATCTGTCCTCATTCTATTCTGGGATGCAGCAATTGGATTTGTAAAAAAGGGTTTTGGAAGGCCACTTTTCAGGGGGCAAGCCAGGAAGAAGAGAATTAGGTGGTTCTGAGTCTTCAAGACAGAAACTGTTTCAAGCAACATTGCAGATGCTCCTGCCTGTAAAACCAATGTTGCCATTCCTGTAAAATGCTTTGTATACTTATGTCCTCTAGTCTCTTACTTTCAAAGCCGTGCTTCTTCCACACCCTATTTTTATGACAGAATGCATGTACATATTTGATTTTGAACTTGACTTTGACTTTGAAAGCTAGCTCTCTAGCATTTTATTTACAGGTCCAACCAAGAACAGGGCAGTCTGTGTCCAGCATCTTCACCTGTTAGGGCACAACAGGTGCTCCAGTCCTCCACGCAATCCCACTTTGGCTGTAATTGTAAACCCAGTCATGCCTTTTATCACCAAAGTAGATTTGTAGAAATGCTACTCTTCAAACAACGGTACTGCTGTTAGTGCTCTTTGAATTCCCTCTCCGGTTTTAATCGTTGTGAGAATTGATACAATAAAAACATAAAATCCGGTGTTTTAATCTTAACACCTTCCCCTGCTGTGGCACCAAGCTGAGATAATTAACAGCTGGTGATTAAAAATTGTAAAGTGGAAAAGAAGCCCTGCTCCAGGTGAAGCCTACTGACTAGTAAGTACTGTAGATGTTAACCTGTTCAACCTTGAATTTTATGACGATGTAGTATAAAAGCACTCAAGAAAATGTATCCACCAAGAGGGGGAACTGGAACACAGCAGTGTGGTGTCTTTTGGGCGGCAGATACGCCTTTACTTTGTGTGCGGTTTTTCTGTGTTTTGCTCTTCTGTTCTGTCTCCTCAATGCATGTGTGCCTTCCCTTCACAGCCTACTCCACACCCAGCACCTCCCCTGCCCAGAGGTTTGTGAGCGTCGGCCCACGAGACCCCAGCTTTGTAAATATTCCTCAGCAGCCACAGGTGGGCACTTTTCAACCTTACTGTCTCCCTGCACCCCCCCCTCTCCCCTGCCCTCCTCTCACTGTCGCTAGCATGGAACACAAGCCTCCTCACTTCACCTGAATCCCCGGTTTTGTTTTGTGTTCATGTCTTTACCAAAGCAAATCTGAAGGCCACGAGCTTAGAATAGGAGCCTCTACAGCAGCCTTCCTCTGAGTGCTTTTAGTGTCTTTTATGATCAAATCTTCTTGTGGGAAAATCAAACTGGATCTGTTTTTTATGGAATGCGTTTGTGAACTTAACCCTTAGAAGATCGCCAAACTTTTTTCAAGACGAAGCATCTGTTCCCCAACCAAGATGAATACTTTGCTTATCTTAAATTTAGGGTGGAGTGTGAAATGTCCGATATTCATTTCACAGGGCTCTTTGTTCTGTCCTCCACCACAACAGTCCTCCTACAGAAGCCACAGCATGGTGGCATGTATCTCATCTCAGACCAGTTCAACTGATTTTGCTGTGCAGAGTCTGATCAAGCGTGCCTGTAAAGCATCTTTGTGGAAGAAATCTAAAAATGTTTTCTGTGGGCCTTCCCAAATATGAAAGCTAGGCACTGAGCTCCTGCTGTGTCTGTGTTTACAAGACAGTCTCCTTTAGCCTTTTCTCATTGTTTTTTGGCTGTTGAGTTGTTGTCTTATTTACTGCCATGCGGCTCCCGGAGTGTTCTGTGAGTAAAGCTGGTTCATGCCGAATAAGTACAGCTGCAGTCAGGATGCCCGCAGGCATTCTTTACAACGTAAAGAGGTCTGATAGTTTAGTTTAAAACCAATGTATGACATGTATGAAAGATGGTCAGTGAACCCCTGGTGGTGACATCCTTTGAATACACACAGAGCCACCCTCTGCATCACTGAACTTTGTAACTTCTGAGAGCCCGTCTGCTTCTGCTTACTCTCTAAAAGCAGGAAGCTATATCTGATTTTACATTGCCTTGGCTTTGTTTTTTTGTGGAAAACTTTTAGTCTTTCACTCCAGCTCAAAGTACAAAAGAGAGGTTCTCAAATACAGCCACACCGTTTTGAGACATATGCTGTCCTGCAGACCTGGACAATTTCTTAGAGTTGCAATGCACTACCAGAATCCAGCCTTGTCATGTAACAGTACAGGTGCAGGGTGGTCTGGAGAAGTGAGTACAGGTCCAACAGTTCTGTTCTTGTTGTATATCAGCCTTTTTGGAGTTTGCCATCAAGTTTCATCAAGTGTTGTCACTTTTGAAATGGCCTTTGAAATGGCAAGAAATTCCCAGTTATTTACTAGAAAACAGACTGGCAATATGTGTCATTCTGCCATCCAAATGTAAACACAGAATGTATTGTGCCTTCTTCTTATTCTTGGGTTCAGTATACAGCTGCCTATGGCCAGCAGTCATATTAAACTCAACAGCACCAAATGAATCACACTGCCAGAAAAACATAGGACAGTCATTTAGTCACGTGTTTTCATAATGAATATAGAAAGGGAGAGGGCCTCCTGAGTCATTCAGCTGGTAAAGATAAGTTGAAATAAGGGTTGAGCTCTATTGTCCAAGCATCATGGGTTCGAGCCCTGGTCATGTCACTCACTGACCCAGACCTGGATTCTACAGTGAAAGCTTAAAGACAGTGGGGTGGGATTAGTGGAAGGCTCTTGCTGGTTCGCGTTGTTGTACATGAGCACTGCCCCTGTGTTGCCTGTGACCACATGCTCATTCTTGTGAAAGAATCTTGTGAAAGATGTGAAAGAACACTCAGCTGGAAGTTCTTAACTGGGTGGGTGTATCAGAAAAATAAGCTGCCGATTCTAAAAGAGAAAAATACAGGAAAAAATGTGGCAAACAGTGCATTCGTTCATTTGGCTTTCATTTTTGTACCATTTCGGTTGTATTTCATCTAGGTCTTCAGCTGCCCCTAAACTCATCACTTGTCATCACTCTGGTAGATAAGCTGTCTTTAGACAGAAGTGGACCAGTTTTTTCATCCCATAAGGGGAGCTGTGTCTCAGGGGCAGGATTAGATTTCTTACTGTCCCTTCCATTTTAAATATATTGCCCCTATTAAATGCTGATTTACCGGAGAATTTAATCAGCGTGGCCTAAAAGCCACACTGCGTGCCCCTCCTGTTCAGTGGGGTGACCTGCGATTGATTTACTACCCAAACCCTGCAGTTGGTGAGCATAGCGGGGAGCTGTCAATAGTCAGGTTGGCCAAAGTGCCAATTGGCAACCATCTGTGCCTAATTTAATCACTTGACAAGTTAAGGCACATAACTGAAAGTTAAAAGATGTTTCATTGCCGAGGTGTTTTTGGCTCTCAATCGTTTCCAGTAGAACATCCATTCACCAATGATGGACATTAAACACCATCAAAAAGATATAAATCCCAGACAGAATTTAGGTAGAATATCAATCGCTAAGTTACAAAACAATATATACATCAAATGTCCTTATTAAAATACAATGTAACTTAAAACTGTAATAACATTTTTACTTTATTTTAAAAAAACAAAAACGTCAAGAAATAAATGCAAACCTTTATATTTTTTAAATACTCGAATTAAATGCAAGGCATGCTCATCCGGACGCCTCAAAATAACTTACTGATTTGGTCAGTATCACCATTAATTAGACCTCATTGGTTGCACTAACAAACTAGCAGGAAAGAACTTTCTACAGTTTTAAAGCTGTCTATAGTGGAGGCCTTTGAAAGCACTGGGAGAGAAGAGAAGACTGCAGATGCAATCGGGCAGCTGTTTTGCCCTCTGTGGGGTTGTAAATAAGGCTTTATCACACAGTAATCTCCAGCCCCTCTGACAGAAGTTTTTTTTTTCCTCTGCTCTCAAACTTTCATACTGGTGTCCTGTTTTAAACCCCCTTGCTGCATAACTTCAAGTTTACTGTATGACGGAGCCTCATGTTTCCAGCTTTGTCTCCAACACATCTTGTTTAGAGGTTAGCGATACAGTAAATCTGGGTGACAAAGATAGTCTGCCTGATGTCACCCACAGTGGGGAGAAACAACAGAGAGACAACTGCTAGGCAAAGTTTTGTTTTTTCCAGTTGGGTTCGGTGATATAAAAAAGAAATGATGACACACACACCTAGCACGAATTATCGGGGACATCTTGAAAGTCTAGTACTGAACTAAGTCGAAAGAAGTACATTTTTATGACCGTGTGGCAACACATAATAATATATTAGGGTAATTTTTCAGCACCTCTCTGTTGCACTACAGCTGTTGATACTTACAGTACCACTGCAGCACGCTGCACTGACGCACACTTCACTTAAACAAATTCTGCACCCATATGCTGGGCTTAATTGTGAATCGCCGCTCCAAAAACCACACAAGAGCTCTCCCCCTGTGATGTCATCACTTAAGCTATAAACTGTGACAGGGTCTGTCATAACTCAGCAGAGAAATATAGCTGTGTCTATTTATGTGATTGTGACCAGATGCCTTTGCTGGGGTCTGTTTGCTAGCTGTCTCTGCCATGTGTTTTGGTCCTAAGTTAACAGCTTTGTGGACAGCCCAAGCCAGCCTCTCCCCTTGTTATGTACGAGCAAGAACATGCCTCTTATAGGAACTTTTGAACTCGTTTTTTGAAGAAGCATCTAATCCCCTTGCGCATGCTTCCTGAGCCACCGAGCTGCTCCGATCTTTCCCTTAGATTCCCTCCCAAACACTCCTAGCCCAGCAGACGAATCGAAATTAGTTTGCCATGTTTGGCGCCCAGCACCACCGCTGAACAGAAGTCTCTCGTTATGAAATAGGCAGCTGTTTTGAAGCATAACTGCCCCCCCCCACCTCTCAAAACAAGACAGATGGAAATACGCTTCAGTTGAGCTAAATGAAAACAAAGACGTTGAGAAAAAAGCAATGTAACATATATGTGTGTTGTATAATTACGTTATATTACATCATGTATTCCATATGAATTGCCCAGAATGCCAACAAAGACTTTGTTTTGCTGAAAGCTCTACTGATTCGAAGTAAAGAAACAAACCTTGTAACTCTTTCAGAGTTAAAAAATGAGAACGGTTGAAATTAGCCAGTTTGCAATGTTTCACTTAAGGACTGCAAGGCCTTTCTTAGAGGTGTAGGTACTGCCATTAAGTTAAAAGCAAGGCACGTTCAAACAGACTGTGATGGACTGAAGTCCCATCTGAGGTGTAACCTGCCCTGTCCCTGTTTCTTGCCAGGATAGGCTCTGGATCCCCCCGTGACCCTAAATTGAATGAATCAGTTAGAAAATGGATGGATGGATATTGATTTGGACTTGTCTGATGACATTAGCAGGAACTTCATTGCCTTTTAGAAGACAGAACTCCACATAAATGGGGAAGAGTCTCATGGAAGAGCGAGGATTGGAGAACAGAAAACAGACGGAATTAGTTTGAAAGAGCTGTTGACTGTATTTGAGAGCCTTCAGAAACCTCAGTCCAGGCCGTCAGCCGGCTGAAAGCCTAGCGGTGCTGCGCTGTGCCATTGTGCAAGTGCAGGGAGCGGTGCAGCGATGGTGTCTGAGAGGCTGGCCGTGCTGAGGGCGGCAGTCTTAAATCATCTCCGGCTGCCCTGGGTCTCCATCATCACTGCGGCAAGGGAGGAGGAGAGGCAGAGATATGCTGCTGCCTCCCCTCCATTTATCTTAGCTGATTATTCTCATCGCCAGATAGCAGTGTATTGGATTAGTCTGTCCCATGCCTGCATCAGGTGCCCCGATCAATTTATTGACCCTGTCAGGGCAGCAAGCGACTGTTACCAAAGAAGAATGGAGGTGTGTTTGTCTGTTGTTGGCCAGGAGCGGGGGGGCGGGGAGATGTTAGGAGTTGTTCTTTTCCCCTTTCCGGGTCACTAAAATGATGCTTAGCCTTTCTTCCCTTTTAATCTATAGATCTTTGTTTACCCAGCAAAGAGCTCCTTCAGTTCCTTTAATCAGACCTTTGTACATTATTAATCGCCTGGGTTCTGGCCTCTGCAGAAACGCGC